TTAGTCTCCTTTTAACGAGAAGCAAGAAATGGTAAACATTTAATTGTCCTCAACAGAAAACTATATAAACAAGATGCTCCTATATAGTATGTTTTATTATGGAGAAGAAATTTCAGGTCTTCCTACATCATATTCGTCGTAAAAAGGAAATATTCACGTCCCTCATCAAGTATATGGTTATTATCTTAAAGAGAAGGCATTCTTACTTGAAGGATACATTTCTATTTTGTAGTCCAATCAAAATATGCACACACTGTTCATAATAAGTGTTGATCTATTGCTTGCTTCTCTCTCTAGCCAATCTTTATGACAGTAGCACAGTGTCATATATTTGTTTATTTTTTAGATTCGAATGGTTATATTTTTACAAGACTTTATTTTCCCATGTTTTCTTAATATCTAGCAATATATATCCATATCTCTCCCTCTACTGCTGGCAAACATGCTGTCATGGAGAGACATAATATGCATCTTACAAGGAAAACAGGAGTATAGTAATATGTTTGATTTCTCTCGACTCCTTTCTTATGCGTTGCTATTAATGTAATTGTGCGTCTTCCGTCCAAGGTTTCGAACAACATAGTCTAGCCAACAAGTATGTTCATATTTCGCATACTGTGATCAAGGCATGTAGCATCATGTGTGATGGATGTGAAGTATACAGATGGTTGTTTTTGGTCTTCCGGCTATTTAAAACCATGGTTTCAGACAAAACTACCTGGAAGGATGTAGTTGTTTTTGGTCTGAATAAGATTGAATTTCATCACCACAACAAGTCGTCAGTGTCAGTTTGTGCTTTGCACAAGGTGCTTGACATGTAATGTGATCATTAATGTTTGTGACTGGCATCGAGAGTAAAAACAAAAATTTTACAAATGCTATTACTCTGTTTATTCAGCTCCTGACTTATTGTCCATTGAATTTCATGTGAAAGATATGGTTTAGCATAACCATTCAGATAAGTTTTTACACTGAAAATGTTTAATTCAACCTTACTAATTTGAAATGTTAAAATAGAATCATGTGTTTCAACCATCTTGATTATATCTTTCTTTTTCAAGATGGACGGGCGCGGCAACGCGTGCCTTCATGTTCTAGTTGACCGTGAAACTGTGGCACTTTGATGCCGCGACCGAGAAAACCACACCGATCAGAGGTGAGCTCTTCCATTTATCACTTTTATAAGTTTTTTTCATATTTTTATACATATGAAAATTCCATAGGCATATGGTGATGTTCACAATGGATTCTAGTTTAAGTTAGTTTGAATGTTATAGATGTGGATAGATAGCAAGTTTAAAATTAATTAGGATATGCACCGATGATATATATAACTAGCTAGATTATGTAATTAATATTTTTGATATGGATATGAGATATATGTGGATCAATGATGATATGGATCTAGCAAGCTAGATAGGTTTAATATGATGTCCATGATTGAGAATATGGATGGGTATACTAGAGTTTATAGCAAATATAAGAAAATGATATGGGTCTGATGGGATCTTTTTTTCTTTATGCATATGATAGCATTTTATAATTTGTATATGTCGATATAATTAAGTGATTCTAGGAGTCTTATGTATCATATGGTATATTACATGTTTGTTGTTTTATGTGTGTTTTTATAAATAATGACATCTTAATTAATTTGTATATTTTCTACAGATGAACGGAAGTAGGGGATGCCACGGGCTCATTAAGGCGTAAGTGTTTGAAGACGATGTATTGCTGACCGAGATGAAGGAGATCACTTCCTGGTATGGCACCTTGAAGGAACTGAATTATAAGGCAAAGGGCGTGCTGATTTTTACCACATAGTACGAGCAGAAACGGATCAGGGTTGTCTATGGTGGTGATACGATGGTCAATGCGATGGACTTCCTCCTATGGTGTATGAGAGAGGGGCATGGGTGGAATTACTAGCTGTGACAAAAGTATGAAGACTACCGCTCTGTTATGACCGCCAATGAGGGCCCGGATGTGGCATGGACTGAACTCGTGGTGTTACCGGGCACCAGCCTGGAAAATCCAATCTATATCCGCGAAGCTGGAATGCCTATCCCAGCACCACACCCTACCTCCCCAGAGGCGTGGCCGTCGCGCTTATGCATAGTATGCTATTAGCATCTTAATTTCATGGTCCGGCTTGTGGATGCCCTTCATATGATGAACTATTATTTTGGTTATATGACTATTGCTATGTTGCTATATGTATCAACGCAGTGCCTCATATATATATGATGCAATTAATGCTTGGACTCAGAATTTTTATTCCATTATTTTCATGCTTAACAGTGGAGTTGAGTTGTTTAGTTTCACATTTGCTAGATAGAACTGTTTAGAGTTATGAGTACCAAATGGTAGTTCATCTGCAAGATTATTTCAGTTGAATTATAGCTTGTTAATATGTTTTGACTAATGCCGACTCTTTGTACAAAGAACAACTTATCTCAGTAGCTATGCTACAACAAAAAAACCATATTACTCATATATTCCTCACTTCTGTAGTGAATGCCACGAAGAAGATGACATTATCTATATCATCACTCTATTTTGTTATTGAATCTATACTGTACACGTGGAAAATATATATCAACATGTAATATTAAAGAGATCTTATGTTTTGGTCACCATTTCCTGCTTTTATTTGTTAGCATGGTTATTTTCCTCGACGCATTCTTCTCTGGTGAACTATTCATGAAACAGTGGTGTACATGCACGAGAATCTTGCATAATTCCACACATGACTAAAGAAAAAACAAATTAACAAAAGTTTAGTTGTTCTATATCAATATTTGTATTCTACTTAATGTGCATGGCAAGATATATTGTTTATATTTATATTATCATACATTAAGATATGCTGGTAGCTGAATCTTCTATACTCATTGGTTCTTTCTTTTGAAGGCCAGGGTGCAACATGGGATGGGATCCATTGGTTTGATAGAAGATGGTGGTGCATTGATCCATTTCCCAGAGGTTACCATGAAGCAAGAGATCTCATGCTCATTCCAAGATGATGGCGCCTCCAACGGATCAATGGGGGGGCCAAGTTAGCATGAAGTGAGGAAGAGGACAACACAATCTATTCTTTCCAGATGGAGTGGAGAAGAAGCCCCATGACTATACAGAAGAAAGTCGAAGGAGGATGCATAATATAAATGGAGATGAGAGAATATCATATGGAAACATTTGATCTTGGGGACCAAATTCTATTCAGGGTTCAGTTGTGTACTAGGTGTCATTTTTTACATACTTTATGCATGATGTGTGGTTTCTTTGGATGATTTATGGTGTGCAATAGTCCAATACACAGCTTTGATGTGGATCTTCCTTCACTAACAAGTCTATAGGACGTGAAGGTTCTCGACTTACAGTAAATCTCAAAATACGAATTATGCCCTACATATCGAGATATATGGAGTGTGTAGAAAAAACTACTTCGGATGTTGCCACTCCTCGGCGTGCACCGGTTGCCTCCGCCCGTCATCCCTAGCCTACATGAGGACCTTTCTACCAAGCCATGGATGGCTGGCTACCTCCCATGGATCACCACAACATGTGCCTCGATGCGCTCATGGTGGCCCACATGGTTGGAACAATTTTTGGTGAGGTGGGGCCACACGGAGGCATTGGTCCACACCTACGACCAAGAGGGGGAAGAGGCATCTAGCCCATCGACAAGCTCTGACGCCCGACCGGGATGGACACGTAGCCCCCACGATCGCCGAGAGCCAAGAGAGGTTGTCAATCAAGTAGGAGGATGGGAAGGGTGATCAAGGCAGATGCGGGGTGCATGCGAGAGAGAGAGAGAGAGAGAGAGAGAGAGAGAGAGAGAGGATTCAAATGCGGAAGGGAAATGACGACACGTGTGGCGGCAGCAGAAGAGGGGGAAAGGTTTTGAGAAATAGGTGGTGCCAGTGTAGCAAAGAATATTTTTCTAATAGTAAACGTGTATCATATGTATATTCTAAAATTAGCATCCGTATGACTAGTTAATTGTAATTACTGCAATGAAAAATATTAAATGCATTTAATGTTCATTTTGAGGCTAACATGTTGGTCTTTGTTTGATAATTTTTAATTTTTAATCTGATATAATATTGAAAGTGTAGGTCCCAATTTGATATATGATAATAATATGACTGGCGCATACGAGATGAAATACAAAAGAAGACTAGATCACAAGGTGAGTGGACGGTCATGCTATTCCATCTATGCTCAGGGTTAGATGCAATTTTCTCTCTCGAAATAGGGGCATAAGAATTGATTTCCCTATTAAATTGGGAGAGAATAGTGTTTTATAGTGACCCACAATCATGGCATGGCAATTACTTGCCCAATACAATATTCCCTTGTTTCTTAGTATTCGGAGTAACTCATAGTTTAGCCTCATTCAAAACAATTTTTAGAAGAATTGGCGGTGGTGCTCACTTGTGCGGAATATACGAGAATTTCTCTCATTCTAAATTGTCCATGAGACAAGCATGGTGAGGAAGGCCATAACTCGTCTATTGGGGTTTTGCATGTCAGTTCTCTTATCCCATCAATCATTGACGGTGCCCTCTAAGTACCAAGTGGAGGTGTCCATGCGCACAAGTCCAAAATTTCTCTCGTACCAAATTGTCCAAGAGATGCGATTTTTTATTCAATTACTATCTAGTATATATCTTCAGTTTAAGTGCTCCAACAAATTATTATATGTATATATTTCTTTTAGAGAAAAGGCAAAACACTAGCCCGAGATAGGGCTCGAGCATAGCCCGACTTTGAATGAAGGACACAACACTAACCGGCCAGGATTAGCATTAACATGTATATATTACTGCAAGTAATTTCTGGATTAGCGAAGCACAAAGAACTGCACGGGAGATGATAATATTTTTAAAGTTTGTAAACACATGAGAGCAATATTGTTTTACATTGAAATTTAGAACGATAAGGAAATATAAAGCATCATATCCTCTGAGGAAAAAAAACGTCATATTGAATACCTGTGTTGAGCTGTGGGTAGGAAGCTCTGCGTGGCGCCGATGCAGTCTTGCCGATCCCTCAGCACCCTCATATTGCTCCAACGTTCGAACAGGGGCAGCTAGCCGAGGGCAGCTCGTTGGGGAGATGAAGGATGGTTAAAGAAAGACGCAGAGCGATGTGATAATGGCTTCTGTAGTTTACAATATCTCAAATTATAGGCAGCTTGGACTGGCGCTGCTTTGCTTGCAGTTGGAGACTATGAACGCATGCAAGCAAAGTACTATAATACCGTGTGGCAGTTGGAGTCCATCGATTCCTTTCTTGGACTGGCGAAGCTTTGCTTTGCTTGCAACTCGAGACGAATGAACGCATCCAAGCAAACCATAGTAGCTCGATCGAGGGGAAGGGAACCTTTTTTTTTTTTGGAAAGAGAACCTTGTTAGAGCAACTCTAGCAGACCC